CGCAGACGGAGTCGCGGGTGACAACTTGTATTATTATAAATCATAGAGTTACCGTGCCTTTTTTATTTTATTTTAAAGTCTTCTTAGTGAATTTTAAAATGAAAAATCATGAAAGTGCATTCTCTAATCCCGTCTCCGGAGACGACGACGATTCTCGACTATACGACATAAATAAAATACGTGTCTAGTTATTGTCGACCTTATGAAAATGTACTTCCATTGAAAAACATATTTATTTGATTTAATAACTCCGTTCTTCAAGTATTTGTATATTTGTACTAAGTATAAATAATCAAAAATGAAAACGTTTGTAAATATTTAATAAATTTCATAAATATTGAATTTTTAATTGATTTGCAAAAATGAAATCTAAATTAATTGTTTTAAATTTTTATTTAGTATTTGTTTTTTTATTATTGCAAATTTGCACATTTATTAAAAAAAATGAATGCCAGTAACACTTTTTTTTATCTTTTTCGTGAATAAAACTGTGGTTTCTTTATCTAGCCTAATATAAAGTATTTCTTCAATCAAACGGTTTGATATTTGTACGCCGGCATTCCATTCGGAAACGATCGAAGGCCATCCATCCCTTTCTTGTTTACATATTATCAAAGGTTTCAATAGATGCATTTTCCTTTTTATTATTATTATCATTCTTCCTTTTATGAAGGTAGACGTTACTATATAAGTCGAATAACAATCGTCGGTGGCCGCTCACCCTCCGGTGTGTTTTGTTTGCAGTCGGCCATGGGAGGGCTCGCCGTCCTTGCTTTCCGCAAGATACGCCGTATAAGGCTCTCTCGCCACGCGGAGCTTCGCGCCTCCATGAATAAAATAAGATAGCACCGGCTGACTCTATCTGTCTCACTCCACGCTGGCAATTACAAAACGCGCCAAAACGAGAAGGTCGTACCGAGAAATGCAATAAAACTGAGCGCCTACACGGGAGATTTGTTGCTATATAGAAGGTTATAGTTCGGTCGGCGAGCTAGGTAGATATGTTGTTTTATTTGCTTAGTGGATGATTCGCACGTGTTAATTTCTCTTTAATTCCGGGTAATGATATTGCTTATTTCATTTATGTTGAAAAAAATCGGACGGTTACATTCGGATTTTCACGGTTCATTTTTTAATATTTGATGTCCAAAAAGATGTAAGGAGCTAATTTTGTTATCATTAGAATTTTTGCTGAGCTTACAAATGTTAACAATATTATAACGCTTATACAATTATTACACGGTTAAATGGTAAAATAGTATATTATATAGAATTAATAATATTCTATAATTTCATGAGAAATTTTGTTTTTTCATATAAGGCTGAAATGTCTTTATAAATATTTTTATAACAAACAAATGACGTATTATTTTCACACAATGCTTTGTTTGATCTATGCCTAATAATGTATTATAAATCACATATTAATCGAAGTCTAAATAGTGTCAGAACCGATATAGTTATATTAATGTCGGAAATGTATTACTGCGGTGAGTCTATTTTATGATTTTGAATCATAACTCTGCGGATTCAGTGTCAGAATTCACTGACTGAGCTATTTTTACGGCTGCCATTTGAATATTATAAATTCAATGCAAGTATAAATTGAATATGGTAGAGAAGGTATTCTTGTTTCTGTGTAAATGTCTAGTGCTATGTATTTGAAAGAAAATATACAAAAAAAGAATTAACCCAATATTATAAAGGGAATTTGACCATAAGCTGCTACGCAGATCGCTTGATTCAACCAATTGAATATAGTCTTGTTTTTAAGTGACAAACATCATAAAATATTGATTGATTGTTTCACGGTGATTATATTAAATTAAGGACGGCTTAAAGTACTAAGTATCAAAAGCTCCAAGCTTTATGCGTTATGACTGCAAACTGGTATTCGTCTATCATTCGTTTTCACCGAAAAGCCTAAATTAATTTAACACAGGCCAGACAAATTCCTTTCATGGCTCATGTAAATATTTAACTTTTTTAAACATTTTTTGACAATGTCAGCGAAAAAGTTCAATACTAGAAATGATTTTAAAATTTTGAGTTTTATCTTAAATTGTAGTTTATCTGTGGTTAAAGGGTTTCAATTGAAATCCGGTATAATGGTATATCAACTGTTTTTATCGGTTCGCGGACTGTATGGACCTGTCTCTGTTTGGGTCAGTCCGTGTAGCGTCCGTGTCTTTTAGCAAGATTGGACCATTTTAATATTTAGTTGTTTAATTCGATCAGGTAAAATTTGCAAGACCTAAATGGCTTGATTTTTTTTTTAAATGAAAAAAAACTTTTAAATTCTGAAGTAAATAAATTCAGACCTGGCCAGTACTATAATGGCTGCCTACGATGAATAAATCGTGGACACAAATGGGGAAAAGTCCGTTCTGTTTAAGTGACCGCTAATGTATACTTTGAATCGATACAGCCCGGGTTGTATCCAGTGGGACGCTATCACATGTTCCACTATACCTGCAGGCTAAATATCTATATTTAAATCCAACCATTCACTGAAGTATTAAACATTACCGCGCCATTTATAACTTTAACCAATGATTTGCAACTATAAATTAACTATAAATATTGTCTTACTATTGAAAAGAAATAACTTTTGGTGAATTATTTCTTTAAATATAAAGATGAAGATTTTTCATGTTTTTGTTATTGTAGATAATCTTTTACTACTTTAAATTATTCATTACAAATAAGGGTAGTTAATGGATATATTTTTAATATTATAGAAAATTAAATAAGTATTTTAAATAATAAATTGTTTTGCATATTTGCTTACATTGTAATAACTCTATTAGACTCATTGAATATAATTTGTACTAAAAGATTTTACAATAGACCCATTATATTAACAGATATTATAATTGAGTTTTATGTTTAGATATAAAACGATAATATAACTCATTTTATGAAACAATAATTTTGTCCATTATTTTTTGCTTTTATCCATTTTTTATTATGTGGGTTAGTGAAAAACCCACAGAAAAAGTATTAGTAAGCGGGTTTTGCAGCAACTACGCTCTTATTTTGTGTTCTAATTTGGAAATTATTAGAAACAATTGGAATCGCGTACGTCCAGTGATGATTCCGGTGATTAATTGCCTCATACCAAGACGCTATTTTATAACCGCAATTTTCCACAAATAAGAAAACGGTATATAAATAATATACTTCAACAACATCATCAGCACACTATTCGTCTCCAACGAGGGGCTCGGAGCCTACCCTAAGTTAGGGATCACTATGCCATAGTCAACCACGCTGACCAAGTGCGGGTTGATTGACTTCACACATATCTTTGAATTTCTTCTCAGATATGAGCAGGTTGCATCACGATGTTTTCCTTCACCGTAAGAACGTCGGATAGATGTACATCGGAAATTGAAAAACACATTGGTACATGGCGGGATTCGAACCCAGGACCTGCAGATTGCAAGTCAAGTTCTTGACCCCTTAGCCACCGACGCTCTATACTTAGTTTTACTATAATATTTAAAGAACAAAAAATGTTCCCTTCTTAATCAGTGGATTCACGGTATTACTAAAGGATGAAATACTCTACTCTGCGTAACTCTCAATACTTCACTAAGGGACGATCGTTAAGCCTTATATTAAACAAATAATTGTTAAAATAGCCTCCTAGCTATTTTAAAAATTACTACTATTTTTAGGCTCCTGAATTCGATAGTAATTCAGTCTTAATTTAAGTAATATGAGAAAGATACACGGGTCATTCAGAAAATTGAATTAAATATTTTTTAAAGCTAATTATGAAACGTATACTGTTTAGTTGATACTATGTGTTTTAAATGTATATTCCTATATAAATGCTGAAATCCTAAAGTAATATAAAACATGCTGAAACAAAAATAACGAATATTAAAATGTGCTCGGTGAAACCTGAAAGAAAATTTATCAATTTATAAATAGATGCATAGTTTTTAGAAATACGAAATAATTCGATGCTTTTTAAACAAATACCGATTTTAACAATTAGAAATAATAATAAATTTCAATTGTATTATACAATATATTTTTAATTATTAACATAATGCTCTTATTTATAAATATCTTTTTTATTAATCAACAATCAAATTACTATGCAATTTTTGAAATTTGATTCTTAAATATTTCTTCGATCTTTATTTTTTTTTTTTAAAGTAATAAATATTTTTCTTTTAATAAAAAATCTATAAAATTTATGATAATATTTTTGCGAGTTATATCAGTATCTTTAATTTGTTAGAATTAATGAAAATATTATTTTTATAACAGTTATGCTACGCCGCTACGCCGTAGCCGTCGGCGTAATCCGCTTGATTGCTGAACTTTCATGCCATACTGAGCATAGATAAAACCTTTCTTTTATCTACAACGTACGTTTTAGCGTATTTTTATTTAAACTTTAATAATTTTCTTCAACATTAAACATTCAGTCAAATAACTAAACATCTCTTGTTGTTACAAAAGTTAATAAAGATTTTTTATTCGATAAATTAACTTTAGAATTATATAAAATATCTTTTTTTCCCTAAATAATTTAAAATTTCCCTAACAATAAATACTGAGCAAGGTAACCGTCGGGCTCATTACAGACGTAGTTTTCGCCGAAAGTCATTTTAATTGAAAAAAAAAAGGTCTAATTTAAATGTTACTTAGTTTTTGAAAGGCCACGATAAAATTCTCTATGTATTCTTGTGAATCTAAAAACTATGCATCACATAATACTTCATTCGCCGAAACAACAACAACACCCCCCCATGGAGCTCCATGTCACTCGCAAAGCTTTTGCCAGCGGAAAAATAGATACAAATCGCAGAGCAATCAAATAAAATAAATACAAAACAAAATGTTCTTGCCGCTCCTGAAAAGTAAAAGTCATTAATAACCTATAGCCTGTAAACAAAGTTTTGTTTTGATCACGTGGTACATGACGACAGAATATCTGCAGGATGCAGATGAGCGTTAGGTTAGTCAATGGTACTCACTGATGGGTTGGGGACGCAGCGGCGGGGGTCGCTGGTGCGGTACGTGGGACTGTACCGGCCCGGGAAGCAACCCGGCGGCGCCATCAGGCCACCGCCGGACTTCATCTTGTCCGGGGAGTACATCGCACATGACCCCCAAGGGTCGTCCTCCAACTTCAACACCTTGGAGGGTGAGTGATACTGGCGGTCGAAAATCTTGGCGACTTTATCGTACTTTGGGGTTGAAAAGGCGACGCGTCGCCGCGACCGCTACGTGCGCCGGGTGATGACCGACTGAGCCGGGAGGCTTGTGACGTCACCGGCCACGCCCTCGCCCCTCCAGAAAGCCCTCCTCCGAGCACCCCGCGCCCCTCACACGCATGTTTACGTCGCCGCCGGCGGCTTCACGATTAAGTGAATTATTTAATTGGTCCATTCACTTCTCGTGTCTGTTACCTTTTCACGCTTCTAACTCCGAAAGCCTGATGGATGAGACGTGACGCGATCGGCACAATCCCTAATTATGCCCTAATCGATAGCGAAAGGTAACATACAAGTTTTACCGTACATGTAAGTACCAATCGTGTAGGTAACACCGCCTGTCACACTTCTGCCTTTGTCGGTCTCACGTACATAGAATCCCCGTAATTATATTAATTTTACTAACACCTACTAACTGCCTGCCTACTGTATACATACGTAAACTGTTATAGAATAATTACTGAGTGAGATAACATAGTTAATTCTTCATCTAGGTAATCTATATCTATACGTTTAATAAAATTGGAGTGTCTGAAAGTAATATAAAAAATAATATGAAAAAACATATTTCGTGAACACCGTAGTCAAGGTTGTTTACAATGAAAAACCGATTTTTTAAATTCTTTGTCTGTCTGTGTTTCTGCAATTGTTCCAAGTAATATTAAAAACAGCTGTACCGATTTTGGCAAAACTTTTGCTACAAGGTAGCTGATATAGGCGAGAATAATTTACGCATTCATAATTATTTATGTAAAAAAATAACTTACTGATAATACAGTAAAAAAGCATGTCTGATGGTTTTTATGTCTCTACGATAAAATAATAAGTTATTTGGAGTTACTTTTGCACTAACGATGTTATTTGATTATTAAATATTTATTGGAATGTATACGTTACTTGTATCAGTAAGTACGTCCACCCGTAATTTGGTAGGCGGAATATTTTTATTTGCCGCGATCGTGACATACCAGTCTCGCTACATTGTGCTACGAAACAATAGTATTGGTTACGATTAGTATTCGTAACATTCTGCTATTGAAAAACCTTAAAACATATGTTGATATCTATGTTTTTTCAAAGACAATAAGAGAAAGCATAATATGTTACTGTATACATAATTGTTGACGGAGACTCACGGTGAGATTGATTTTCTTAAATATGTCACTACTTATATTATAACAAAAAAAAGTTTTCTCTACTTAAATATATTTTACGAAAATTATTACATTTTAATTCAACCTGAATAAAAATACTGGAAGCCCTTTAGTAGGTGGCACCTGCACTGCACCGACCTCGTACGCCCGTGGAGAGGGTAGCGTTATGATACGTGATATGTATATGCAAAATTAGCAGAGATCATAACCCTGCAAACGGACGGATACATGTCAAAACAAGAGCAACCCTTCTCGTAATTATCCGAGCCCGGTCGGCAGATGGCGGGAGTTTAATTTTTCGATTTTGGCCGGCCGTACATTATGCATGACGCTTTTATCGCTCGCTGTGGTTCCTTCGGGAGTATACCGCGAATGAATTAAGGCACAAGCTTAAGCGGACTACATTTTTGCATTTGTAATATGAAAGAACTTTAAATAAATGACGCGTTACTATTTGCAAAATACAAGTAGAGAAAGGGCTTTAGACAGAAATTTAACAAAAAGACTCGTTTTATCTTAGGTTACAATAAACGTTTTTTTTTGGATAAAGATATATTTTCATTTTTCTTACTGCATTTTACTTAATAAAGTTAAATTATTGTTTAGTCAGCAAATTATTTGCATCACTATACCCAGAAATGTATTTACACCCAGGCGATTCACAAGTATTCCATAAAAAAAGTATGTATTATAGATTACATTTAAAACATGATCCGCTGTAAGTTCGTAACAAGCACCAACAGAACACAATGTACCCTTTTTAGGGTCTTGTAGATAGACGCGGAACCACGGATGGGCGCAGACAACGTTTCGCAATAGCAAAAAGCAATGCACCATAAGGTACTCAGTTCGTCATAATAATGCTATTCATTTATGTCTTAAGTATTATTATTTTAATACACAAAATACAAAGGTACTAACAAAAACAAAATAATATATTATATTCGTCCAAATTATTCCCATCCTTGCTTAACCCCTTTATCGATAACAATCAACAGATATGAAGATGGTCTGGTAGCGTGCAATATTTCTCCCACATTCACATTTTTTTATTACTGATCAACTAAGAAACATAATTTAAAAAAAACCTCAAAATACCTAACCTCTAAATCGATATAGCATTATCCTTGTTTGAAGGTCATAGTTTAAATAAATTAAAATATAGTACAATAACTGGCTATGAAAATGTTATTGAAGTTAAGTTCAGGATCATTACGAACAAACAAGTGAAGAACATCAATAGCCAGCGTGTACGTGGAAAATTTACTTTTAATCGTTTGACATCGAACTAGTTTTGGATTAAATAGAAAAGGGTCTAATCATAAAAAACTTAGACAATATTTCAATTGACATTTACTAGAAATCATGATTGTTGAAATATTATGACTGTTATAAGTAGGCTTCTGAAATGCGATGTTTATAAATAAATATCAAAATGCTTTTACCTAAACAATTTTGACAGACAAAATATCCATCACCGGCGATCAAATGGTTAAAACACTTGTTTAACTATAATAAAAAGTGTCTGACAGTTTTCTTACGATAATAATAAAATGTAATAAAAAAAATTAAAAATCCACATACAAATATTACAGTGAAAATATGTGAAAAACATAATAAAAGATGAGTGTTCATTTCATTAAAAATTTATTTTTTAACGTTTTTTTTTTCGATATGTTTTTAAGCATTAAAACAAAACCTAACTAATTTTCATGTATTAAACAGTTAGATAATATATAAAAAGAAATGAGACAATAGTAGGCTACGTTACATAGAACGGGGGTACCAGCTTCCGGCGGATGTGGCCGCCCCCCACCCCCCACAGCTCCGCCGGAAGCGTACGAGCCCTTCCGACGAAAATCGGCGTAACGATTGCAAACAAATTATATTAAATCCTCTTATACGATTATACTTTTTTACACAGAGATAAAGCTTTGGTTTACGTTGTTTTTAATACTTTTTTCTCGTAAACACATTAATCGACCTATAAACTTGTGGTAAACATTTTGGCCACAAAATTCACACGTATTTCAGAAATGGTATTTAAAAAGTAGTATTTTAAAAGTTTTCAAGGATTACTCTGCCCTGAGAAAAAAACCATTTATTTACGTATACATAATACTAAGAAGAACACAAGCGTGTTGCTCGTGAAAGATGTTCCTTATTTAGATAAGATTCTAAAAGTTGATTAGTGATTGATACTTCTTGTTAAAAAATATTTAAATGGTGTCTTTAACTCTCATTTGTCCCCACAGAAGGTGTCAGCAGCCTAAAAAATTGAGGGGTGACTATGCCACAGAAAGCAACACTGGTCCAGTGCAGGTTCGCTGAATTCACACATATCCTTGAAACCTCGGCTAAATATACATATGAAATTAGAAACACATTGATTGATGATGTATAGATTTTTTAGAGCGCCAACAGCCTAATGATTGAGAGTACGGATTTCCGATCACTAGGTCGGGAGTTCGAATCCCGCCATTCGACTATTGTCGAAACCATATCCTATCACAAGCCTAGAGCTTACTTGGAATGATACAAGAAATATTAGTAAATCAACAAAAAACTGCTAATATTTTATTATAAAAATAAAATAAAAAATATTTCAAACCGATCCGGTCAAGCGCTTAGCAACTGCGCCACCGACGCTCTATGGTCGTATTGTCATACATGTATAAAAATCTTCCCCTAGAACTTAATTGCCGTGTCACTTGCATTTGTACATATTATCATCCCATTGTCTTTCATAAATCAAATTTTACACTTTGTATAGACCTAGAAATGTTCTAAATTGTAATATTTATAACAGAAATAATTTTCTTTTATAAAAGTGGTCGCGTCTGCCAACGGTACTCACAGGGATGGAGGTAAAAGCTGTGCTCGTGAAAATGAAGAAATATGTTATTCGCGTTCCCTCAATTAAAACCATAATTAACGTTGTATTAAAAGCGAGCGCTAAACCCAATTATTACTTCCTTTTATTGTTATTTTATCTTTATTTACTGCTTTTGTAAATTAAACGAATCAAATAAAATTATCACTTTTGTAAATAAAAAAAAATTAAAATTATACTGTATTATGCCCCAAAAATATAGTTGGACTCTGTTTAGTTAAATAGTTTAACCCTTTGAACGCCGATAAAGAATATTATGGAAGTCAAAGTGTTTATATGTCTTACCACACTACTTTCGGTATAGGTATTTCATAATTTCTTGGTTAAGAACTCATTTCGCAAGTCTACGCGTCAAAAATCAGCGCCGTCGTTATAATCACGGTATAAAAAGGTTGACGTATGAATAAGCTAAAATTTATTTGTAACGTTGTCTAATTTTTTTTAGTAAGGCCCACTTTAAATAATACAAAAATATACGTAGGGCTTAATTGTTTATCTGAACGTTAAAGTGAGCATGTCTCAATTTGTATGATTGGAGGTCACGTGCCGTCGCATGGCCATCGAGGGCTCGAATTATTTTAGTACACTATTGGGACTCTTTTAATCTATTTATTCACTTAAATTTGTGTTACAGTAATACAATAAAATATGCTCATTGAACTGTAATAAGAAACTCGTCTGTCTAATTAAAAAAATATCACTAATAGAAAAACATCCGATAAAGCTCTAAACGAAATCTTAAGTGATTAAATATATCGTTGTCATTAAAACTAATTAATTTAACGCTTATTATAATATAAAAAAATACTTTGTGAATG